AAAGACCTAAAAGAACGTTGATTTTTACCAATCATGAGTTTGTGTAAATTTTAAATCTGATGATGGCGCTGTTGTCTCGCCGAAACGTAATGAAATAATCGATGTTCAACAATTTTTACTTCACCCTTTGACTGAGACCCAGGAAAGATACGAAACTAATAATTTTAAACGTTCAAAAATATTAAACGGAAAATAACGCAACGCTCACAATTTATTGCCGTATGACACACTGCTTTATATTTTCCCAATCGGGGAGAAACATTTCGACTGTAGCCAGTTTTTGAAATATGTGGGCATTTACAGCAATAAATTTTTCGATACTGTCTAAACGACGATATGAAGTAGTAATACATAACAATGAATCGGAATGCCAGGTTTTGTTAATATCGCTGTCGGAAATGTGTGTTTGTTTGCAGATTTTATTTTTGCAACATGGAATGCACACATTTTTGCAAAAATCGCAATCTTTTGTTCTATGAAATGTACAAAAGTGCAGTACAATTTAAAACCTGGAAATATACATAAATATGCAGAATACAATTCGTTATGATCAAATGATGAGAATAACGTTTTATCCACATACTACCAAAAAACTTTCTGTTTCAAACGGCAGAGTGTTGAAACTAGAAGAAAACCAGTGCATTTTTCGAATTTTAAATAGTGTTTTTATTAATTAACGTCCTTATTCAAGCCCGTTATCCACTTAAGTGGTGGAAACCTATAAATAAACTTTTGTTTTTGTTTAACGTAGCAAAGACCACGTTTACAGATTCGCCTGAAAAACTGGAAAAAAGTCCGCTCCAGCCCTTCTGGACCATTTTTTAATAAAAAAGATAAATGGATCTGTCAGTGCGGTAAGAACCTCGTATATTATAGGACTAATACGCAGTAATTAAATGATTAATGTGGATATGGGGAAAAAGGAGACTGCTTGGTTATAAATTAGTCGAGACTTTTAATTGTTGGTTCGTTTTTGGGAAACAAATGGGAAAATGTTAAAGTTGGTTGAAGTAATTGCTCGGGCAATTTGCTGGGACTAATTTAACAGGTTTTCTATCTTCTTGAATTAATTAATTAATTGTATTAAGTTATCCAGATTAGAGACGCTTTCTAATGCCGTAAATGCAGGATAAAATGCAAGTTTAGTTCAGTCGGATTAGGTTTT